AACATTATGACCATCTCCTTGTTTCTACGCTCATTGTCCATTTTATCAGCTCCACTTACTATATAGGTGCACTTCGTAGTTCTACAGTTACAGACTGTAGTCCATCTGTTTCTCTGCATACTTTGTTAGCCCCCTTTTACCCTGTTCTTCAGTGGTCAGGACCCCCATGGACCCTCACAGAGCAGGTACTATTTGGGTGGTGGATCATTCTCAGCACTGCAGTAACACTGACGTGGTGGTGGTGTGTTAGTGTGTGTTGCGCTGGTCTGAGTGGATCAGACACAGCAGTGCTGCTGGAGTTTTTAAACACCTTAGTGTCACTGCTGGACTGAGAATAGTCCACCAACCAAAAATATCCAGCCAACAGCGTCCTGTGACCACGGATGAAGGTCTGGAGGATGACCAACACAGACTATGCTGACACACATGAGCTGCTGTCTCTGACTTTACATCTACAAGGTGGACCAACAGGGTAAAGGAGTGGACAGTAAGTGGACACAGTGTTTAAAACCTCCAGCAGCACTGCTGTATCTGATCCACTCAGACCAGCACAACACACAGTAACACAGCACCACCACGTCAGTGTTACTGCAGTGCTGAGAATGATCCACCACCCAAATAGTTCCTGTTCTGTTGAGGGTCCATGGGGATCCTGACCACTGAAGAACAGGGTAAAAGGGGGCTAACAAAGTATGCAGAGAAACAGATGGACTACAGTCTGTAACTGTAGAACTACAAAGTGCACCTATATAGTAAGTGGAGCTGATAAAATGGACAATGAGCGTAGAAACAAGGAGGTGGTCATAATGTTATGCCTGATCGATGTATACGTGCACATATTAGCAACCACCTGCGAAATCGTAGCGATGGCTTAGCAACACCGTAGCAACCACTTGGGAGATCCTAACAATGTCCTAGCACACCTTAGCCACCACATGGTCTAGTAACACCTTAGAAACCACCTGGGAAACCATAGCATTTGCCTAGCAACACCTTAGCAACCACCTAGGATCCCATAGTTTGGGATTTTGGGGGAATGTTGAATCCATGCAGGATTGGATTAACTAGCTGTCACACTGGCTGCACTGTTGCAATAGTAGTCACAGTTTTTCATTGAAAAAAAAAAAAACAGGCCCCTAATAGGGTGAACATATCTCACCCTACTGCCATCTGTGTGTCCATACCTGTTCTCTGTGCTTGTAGATGTCCAGTCAGGACTTGGAGGCTCCACCCTCTGCAGACGCCGTCTATGGTGAGAGTCACTCCGAGACCTACAGCAAAGACAGACAACACAGTTACTTTATTTTCCCTCACTACAACAGAGAGAGAGAGAGAGAGAGAGAGAGGGAGAGGGAGAGGGAGAGAGAGAGAGAGAGAGAGAGAGAGAGAGAGAGAGAGAGAGAGAGAGAGAGAGGGAGGGAGAGAGAGAGAAAGACAGAGAGAGAGAGAGAGAGAGAGAGAGAGGGAGAGGGAGAGAGAGAGAGCAAGAGAGAGAGAAAGAGAGAGAGAATGCTTTTCTTTTGGCATGTAGTTGATCAGTGAAGTATTTGGTGGCTGATGTTTGCTTCTTCAGTTTTGCACTGGAGCTGCAAGGCTATTGTAGCTAACAAGTATTGTAAACGTATAGCCCCCAACAATCATGCTTATCACGTAGCTTAAATCAGTTGTAGCATTCGCCTTGAAGCCTGAATTTTGTCTGTACTTTTGTCCATGTTTATAGATTACAGTGTGTCATACAATGCCAGAAACCGATCTATTGAAGATTACATAACAACTGAACTATCACAAGGCTTAAAGCTACAGAACAGATCAATGTCTAAAACACTAGGAAAGAATTAAAGCAGTAGTTTCGAGATCTAGACTAATGAGCTTTTCCTCAATACCACAGAAAACATCCCTTTGTAGTATGAATATATTTGGAAGTGATGTGAAAAATTAATAGAATCATGAGTGGATAAGAAAATAAATTCCTCTTGGTGATTTACGCCCAGTGCTTACTTCTTAAACAGTCCTTGAAGAATGAATATACATCTAGAAACAAACAATTCTTCTCACATACCAGAAGACAGCTCCAGAAAATGTGATTTAAATTGAAAAAAAATGATCACATGTGGAACTGGAATGATTCTGAAATGATGTGTGGTCCATGGCTCTGTGATGTTTCACACAGGAAGGACACCCAAGCTCATTTGAGCACTGCTGAACTCTCAATAGCAGAAATGCGTTAAAATGCATGGAAGAAACTGCTGAAACATAATGAAATATACATTAAATTATATACTCACTAAAGGTGAATCCCACCAAGTTGTCACAACTTGTGCATAATAAAATTAAACATTATTACAATTTATACAAAGGTGTGATGTAAGATTCTCCGTTGTAAATTTACCAAGTCAGAATTGTTAAAAGTGGTGACACACTGACGTGGTGGTGGTGTGTTAGTGTGTGTTGTGCTGGCACGAGTGGATCAGACACAGCAGTGCTGCTGGAGTTTTTAAACACTGTGTCCACTCACTGTCCACTCTATTAGACACTCCTACCTTGACAGTCCACCTTGTAGATGTAAAGTCAGAGACGATAGCTCATCTGCTGCTGCACAGTTTGTGTTGGTCATCCTCTAGTCCTTCATCAGTGGTCACAGGACGCTGCCCACAGGACGCTGTTGGCTGGATATTTTTGGTTGGTGGACTATTCTCAGTCCAGCAGTGACACTGAGGTGTTTAAAAACTCCAGCAGCACTGCTGTGTCTGTTCCACTCGTACCAGCACAACACACACTAACACACCACCACCACATCAGTGCTGAGAATGATCCACCACTCAAATAGTACCTACTCTGTGAGGGTACATGGGGATCCTGACCACTGAAGAACAGGGTAAAAGGGGGCTAACAAAGTATGCAGAGAAACAGATGGACTACAGTCTGTAACTGTAGAACTACACAGTGCATCTATATAGTAAGTGGAGCTGATAAAATGGACAATGAGCGTAGAAACAAGGTGGTCATAATGTGATGCCTGATCGATGTATATGTATAATATACACACCCACACACATTACTGTGAGACTAGTTTAAACTAATTCTGTAGAATGGTCTATATATACATATAATGAATCTATATTCATTTAATTATGTTTTACAGCAGCTACAAGAAAATATATGCCTACAATGAAAGATGTCCAATTTTTGGCAGCCATCATCTGTCACTAGGCAGCCATATGGGGCTGAAGCAAGGAAAAAAAAAGAACAATCTAATTTCTGTCTCATGCACACAGCCCTGCTGAACCTGTGGAAGGTCAGCAGCACAGCATGCTCTCCTCCGCGAGGTTGGGATGTGTGCGGAGCGGTGCCGTGAAATTGGTTTATGTTTCTGCCTCCTAGGCTGTTTCGCTGTTTCAGACACTGCTGCTCTCTCTCACTCACTGCGGCCAGAGTTCCGTCGGTTCCCACTGAGAGAGCAGCGGGACTAACGGCCGCCGAGACTGATCTGAAAACGCCGTTCCATGCGGCCAGTGCACTGTGGCTAATCTGAGTAATGACACACTAAACCTGGCTGCTCAGAAAGGTCCAGCCTGGCTGGGTCTATATTTATTATTCCTGATCTGCTCATATGCACCGTGTAATAATCACAAGTACGCTTCCCATCAAAAGTCTGGGGACACCTTGTCTTCTTTTGAGTTTTCTTTTAATTTACCAGCAGCATTAGAATTAGCTATGCGCTTATTGTTTGGGTATATTTAGCTTTAATACTCAGCTTCATGTTCATCTAAGTGTCTTTCTTGGTATGAAGAGCAGCTTTCGCCTAATTCTGATTTGATAGTTTTACAAATTATTGTGAAACTTGAAATTATTTTTTAATTTTTTTTTGTTGTAAATTTTTTATTTTGCCTTTATTTAACTAGACATGTCATTATGATCAACTTCTTCTTAACAATGGTGGCCTGGCAAAAGACAAAGCCTCTTGAGGACGAGCAAGATTTGAGGGCTGTCATTACAGCAAGGGGGAAAAAATATGGCCTTTGGCATTTTTACAAAATGAGGACTTGACCTTCAGTCAAATGGCAGGGAAATTCCACCAAATTTTCTACATTATTCATTCACTGAGATGAAAGCAAAGTCATTCAGAGTGGTTTAATGTGCACCATTGTAAACAAACAACAACACAGATTTCTGCACAATGGTGGTGAGAGGAACCAGTGGTCACAACACAACTCTAATGTATATATTTTATTTACTATCCAAGAAACCAGTGAACCTACGTGTGTCTTCTGACTTCTCATATGTAATGTTGATGTTGGTAAATCTGCAGATCACGTTGCTTTACAACACCCTGCATGTGCCTCTCCACCATGACCAGATTTTTTAATCTCAAAACTATTGTAAAACAGTGAGCATGTTTACATGCACTTAATAATCCGATCATAATTGGATTTCTGCAGTTATCTGATTATTCAAATGGTCATGTAAACAGCATACTCCGATTTCTAGAAATCCAATTAGGAAATCTGATAAAAAGAGCTGGATTTTAGCTCAGTTGTCAGATTTCTTAGCGCATGTATACCCTTACTCTGATTTCTTTCATTTTTCTCAGTCTGCGCATGTGTGAAAATAGACCACTGTATCGGTAAATAGGTAATACAGCACCCACAAGATGCCAACAAAACACTTTTCGAGCAACACTGTAACCAAATACATGCTTGATGAAATGAAGGATTCATCTTCTAGTTGATGTATGTTCATATTTTCAGGTAAAGTGGCTCAATGTTTAAAAAAAAAAACTGGACGTTTGAGTTTTACATCACATTTACATCACACCTTCTTCTGTTAGTTTATTGGCTGGTTGTAAAGCAGAAATCCGATTACCGCCTGTCTCATGTAGACCCGGAGATTTCCTCTTTTCTGATTGCTCAAGTGCATATAAATGTATTGATTGAATTACTGACTAAATCAGATTTTCTGCAGTTATCGGATTCTTAAGTGCATGTAAATGCACTCACTGTTCAGGCGTCAGGCAGTGTATTCATCATGTAATATCTTGTTGTGACGTAGTCTCGCAGTGCCAGACAGGATCTCATAACGAGAACAAACATCTGGTGAATAAACTTCTGCACTAGATCACCAGGAAATCTTTCCCAAACAAGTGTACGCTGCCTCTAAAACCCACCCCCAAATTCCTCTAATGTGTCTACTTTTAATATATGGAGCACAATCAATAAAACAAGCAAAACAAGCTTCTGTTGGCTAATGGAACTGTTTTTCCCCCGTAAGAGACCTTGTTTACTTTTACTGCATGTAATATGTTCTCTGCACATGCCACACACATCCACAAGCCTTTGCTGAGTTTTTCCAGCTATGCTAACTTATGTTACATCCACGGGTTAACAACAGGCTTGTTGCCATTGGACAATGTTGATAGGTGCACCATCACCCCCTACTCCATCTTCATGAGGCATTGGATTGGTTTGGAAATTTCACTACCAGTTTGTTTCCACCCTAATATGTCTAAGTTTCCACCCACATCTAGCCTCAAATCTCTCATGTTTGTCCCCAGACATTATGAGATCACATGTGGCCCTCCAAGACTAACAGTGAGGGAGCTTTTAGAGACATTAACCTTTTCAACTCCTTGAGACCACCGGTGGTTCCAAAACGCACTTCGTCATATTCTTTATAACTTTCATATTTCATAAGCTACATTCAAAAGGTGGGGGTCGTATGAGAGCTGTAACTGTCTTCTTTCCAGTCAAATAGACGGGTAATGTAATTTTAAACCCTTATAATAAAAGAAGCTGAACTCACATTTGTTTTTCTACTGAAAGTCGACCCATTTTTCCACAAAGCTGGGCTATAAACTATAAACAGATAGCGTCTCTTCAGTGATCTGCACTGTAAAAATTATTTTTATAAAATAATACAAAGAGCGTCTAAGATTTTTGGCTTTCAGCAGTAAATTGTAAGCATATAGCAATATGTTTATGATCATAAAACATGTTCTGTTAATTTGAGGGGAGCTTTTACAAAAAATAAATAAACAAATAAAATAAAAATTTACATTTATTCCATGCAGTTACTGAATAATTTGCCTTACGATTTGGTCATGTAAATTCAGGTGGACAAACCAAAATATACCCTGGTCAGTAAGAGGTTAAATAATTCAGATGTCTGATTCCCATCACCACCACTGTGAACAATTTTCTCACTTCACAACAAACCTCTCTAACCATTTAATAATGCAGAAATTTTGAGAATTCCCCTTTAAACAGCTGTTGGTTTTTTATGTCGGGACAAAACCTCGTATCCCCATTTTTGGCCTTTTTCAGTTTTTGACGGAATTTGAAAATGCCTGCGGCCCTTTACGTTGTTTATGAATTTCACGATGAATTGACCAAAAGAAATGGCCAAAAATGACTTGGGAAAAAGTCTGGTTCCATTGACTAACATTAAAAGTAAAGAAGTAAAGAGGTTTTTTTCCTCTCCTGTAAAGTTGCCATTTTGGAGATACAAGGTTTTGCTCTGACAACAGCGATATGCTCTTTTATTAAGCACATTTTTCCCATACTTTTGACAGACAGTGTAAATGAAAGGAAAACTATTTGTACAGTACTTACACTTAGGAGTTATGTGTTTGCATGTGTGTTTTCAGAGCATAAATCTGAACGACCAACCTCTTTTTGTGTTTTCTGTCATCCTTCCTTTTGCGTCTGGTGCTTAAAGAGCTAAACAATGAGAAAGACATTGATTATATTATATAAAATATAAATAAATACTGAGCATTAGTTGAATAAATGATTTAGTAAGTGAAGTTTGATGCATATTAAATCAAATAATTGCTCATATTTTTTAAACAGCCAGTCCAAATAACCAGTAATCAACAATATGCACTGAAGTCCTTCTATAGATTCAAAAGGGATTTATTAGGTGTATCAAAAAAGCAGGAATTCCTGCAACTTTTGGCTCAATTTTTAATCTTTTGTGATTGAAAACCAAACACAAACGCACCTGTGTCTTCTCTTCTTGGAAGCAGACCTGAGAGAGAGACGGAGTAGAGTTTGCTTTAACAGAAGCGCTGACACGCAAGCCCTTTCTCACCGATATGATCTAGACACACAAACGTGATACGCTACCTGTGTTGCTTCCTTTTCTTCGAGCTCTTCTTCTTCTTCTTCTTCTTCCTCACGGGTGACGGACTGAAGGAGGGGGACCTGCCAGATCAAACAGCGTAGCAGCTGAGAAAACGCACCCTCAACTCTGCCGCTGACAGCTTCCAACAGCACACAGCACCAGTCAAAACTCTGGAAACACTTCACTGAATGCAGTTTTCTCATAATCCTAAAACCATTTGGATTTACAGTCTTATACAATACTTAAAGCTGCACTATGTAAGATTATTTTTGTGGAAATTAAGAGGATCTAAAAGAAGATCCAGCTCAATGTTTAGATCTCAAATGCAAAAACAACATTATACTGATGAAGATATGATGACAGTAGTAGATAATTCACTCACATCTTCATAAGACACGCCCTTTTAAGTTTTGACTGAGTTCTCTTTGAATTATCTTTCAAAGCATCAAATTATCACGTTTTTTTGGAATCCAAAACAAAAACCACATCACAAAATGTTTATCCGCATGTTGCATGCAATTACATGGTTCCACCTGAGAGGTCTCCAAATCCCCAAATCTTACATAGTGCAGCTTTAAATGCTAAGACAAATATACAGTGCTGTGCAAAATTGAATTAAAAAAATGTAATTCCTAGTCAAAATGGTCAAAAAGTTGAAATTATTCAGACATTTCTGAGGAGATTAGATATAAGATAATCCACTTGAATGAGGAAGGAGAAAGTCAAAGGAAAAAAAACTGAAACTCAGGAAAAAAATCAATCATTAAAAAATGACTATATATATATATATATATATATATATATATATATATATATATATATACGCTCTTGCATGATTTAAGTGTTCTTTGCATTGTGAAAAGATTCTTCAGATGCTGTAGATGGTTCTTTATAGAACCTTTTTGAAAAGGGTTCTTCTATAGTTACATGCTTGACATCCTAACAATAGAATAATGCTTTTGGGTGCTATATGGAACCATTTTCAAAAAGGTTCTATAAATGTGAAAAGTATCAAACTTGTTGCAATAAACAACCCTTTTGGGTTCAAAAAGGTTCTATATAGAACCATCTGTGGCACATTCATGCACATTTTGCATCAATCTGAAGAACGCTTTCATGATGCAAAGAACCCTATAGTCATGCAAAAGGTTCTTTGAGTGTTAATAATTCTATATGGAACCATTTTCTTTACTAAAGAACCCTTGAAGGATCTTCTTTTTTAAAAGTGTATATAGCACCAAAAAGGGTTCTTCTATTGTAACACGTTTAACATTGTTATCCTTTATAGAACCTTTTTGAAAATGGTTAACTTTTAGTCTAATCTAATCTAATCTAATCTAATCTAATCTAATCTAATCTAATCTAAATAGAGTCTTCTTGAAAAGGTTCTATATTGCACCAAAAAGAGTTCTGCCATTGTTATGATGCCAAGTTTGTAATAATAACCCTATTTGGTGCTATACACTCTCAAAAAAGAGGTTCTTCAAGGGTTCTTTAGTAAAGAAAATGGTTCTATACTGAACCTTGAACACTCAAGAAACCTTTTGCATGACTAAAGAGTTCTTTGCTTCATGAAAGGGTTCTATAGGTCGATGCAAAATGTGCATGGATGTACTACAAATGGTTGTATATAGAACCCTTTTTGAAAAGTGTAAAGTCTAAAAAAACAATAAATTATGAATCAATGAATCAATGAATCATCAGACTTTATGACATTCACTCCTCCGTCCCCTTAAATGCTATTACAAGCCATTCAAACACGTGAGCAATGCTTTGTTCAGTCACATTCATCTCGTCCCTTTGTTTGCAGTGCGTCATTAAATGCATTGAAAAGATCCTCAGCATGTTTTAAAAGGTTATACTGCTCATCCCTTGTGGTGTATTAAAGTCTAAAAGCTGTGTTCCAGCACTAAGTGTGTTATGAAAGAAGGCTATTATACCACTTGATTAAACGGCTTATGATGTATCAATTATTAAAGGTACTTGAGATTATAAAGCATTGTAGATAAAACTGTTCCAGAAAAATATGACCTTGACCTTTTCGGCCCAAAGCGACTTTAACAATCTTCATTTTTTCATTTTTATTTGCCTTCACCCGCACACTCATTCCTCTCATCCCTGCCTTTTCCAGTAGAAAACCTCATGAAGCTTCAGAAACCTTGCTGGAGCTTCAAGCTGAGTGTCATTTGTTTCCTCAACTGACCTTTCTCTTCTCCTCTTCCTCTCTTTCTTCTTCTTTTTCTTCCCTTTGGGTGCTGGCCGGGTAGAAAAATCAGCATCAAAAGACACACTGAAACAGAGACAAAGAAGCAGAAACAGGTTTTACATTTTTAAACACATTCTTATTATGTTATTTTGTGTTGCTGCTCATATCTCCATTTTTGTCATTTTTCAGTTTTTGACATAATTTGAAAATGCCTGCTGCTCTTTATATTGTGTGTCAATTTCACAATGAATGAACCAAAAATAACGGCTCAAAATTACTTGTAAAAAATTCTGGTTCCATTGACTTGCATTAAAAATAGAATATGTTTTTTCCTTCTCCTGTAAAGTTACCATTTTGGAGATGCGAGGTTTTGTTCTGAAAGCAGCGATATGTAATAATGAAAATGAAATAATACTTCACTCATTTTAATCACAAACAAGTTTAATAAATGCTAACGTAGACAAAATAGAGCAATACTTAACTATATATATATATATATATATATATATATATATTAAAGGGGGTTATAACATGGAAAAACATTTTAAATTGAATTGAATGTAGTACACTTTGATGGTTCTTCAAGGGTTCTTTAGTAAGAAAAATGGTTCCATATAGAACCATGAACACTCAAAGAATCCTGTGCGTGATTAAATGGTTCATGATTAAACATTCTTCAGATTGATGGAGAATGTGCTATAGATGGTTCTATATAGAAAGTTCTTGAAAATGGTTCTATATAGCACCAAAAAGCCTTCTGCTATTGTTACAATGTCAAGTTTGTAATAATAGAAGAACCCTTTTTTGTGCTAGATACACTCTTTAAAAGATGGCCCTTCATAGGTTCTTTAGTAAAAAAATGGTTCTATATAAAACCCTGAACACTCATAGAACCCTTTGCATCATGAAAGGGTTCTTTAGATTGACACAAAATGTGCATGAATGTGCTACAGATGATTCTATATAGAACCTTTTGGAAAAGTGTTCTATACAGCACCCAAAAGGGTTCTTCTATTTTTACAAGTTTGACATTGTTGTCATTTATAGAACATTTTTGAAAGTAGTTCTATGTAGCACCCAAAAGCATTTTTCAATTATTACGATGTCAAGCATGTAACAATAGAAGAACGCTTTTGGGTGCTATATAAAACCATTTTCAAAAAGGTTCTATAAAGACCCATCTACAACACATTCTCCATCAATGTAAACAACACTTTCATGATTCAACAAACCCTTCAGTCATACATGAGGTTCTTTGAGTGTCCCAGGTTCTATAACGGACCATTTTCTTTACCAAGTAACCCTTGAAGAACCATATTTTTTAAGAGTGTGGAACACTTTTTAAAAAAGTTCTATATAGAAGCATCTACAGCACATTCTCTATCCATCTGAAGGACCCTTTTACAATGCAAAGAACCCTTTAATCATGCAAAGGGTTCTTTGAGTGTTCATGGGACTACATAGAACCATTTTCTTTACTAAAGAACCCTTGAAGAACCATCATGTTTAAGTGTGTATTTAAACATTGTTAAAGTTTCCCTCAAAATGACAAACATTACTGCATAGAGATACAACTTTGCTGAAATTCCCATTTTGCCACCTCCAGTTTGAGGACTGCTGCTGTACAGAGTGGGGTTCAGACCCACTTTTGGATAGTAGTTTTAAAGGGGAATTCCACCAATTTTTCAAAATTTATGAATAAATTCATTCCTTACGATGTAAACAGTCATTCAAAGTCGTTCGATGTGAAGTGATTCATTACAGACTCTGATTTATTCACAGTGGTGGAAGTCACAATGTCCACAACACAAATATAGTCATTTCATTTACTATCCAAAACCAAGAGTGAGCCTACATGTGTCTCCTGAGTTTTTATTTGCAGTGTTCATAATGGTAAAATAGTCATAAATCTGAAAAAAAAAGAGTTTTTTGGGGGGGGAATATTTTACCTTACAACCCCTTCACCATGAATGGATTAAAATAAATGGACTAAAATACACTTTAAGCTTAAACTTAGAATAAAACTATCATAAAACAATGTGTCAAAGGCATCAGGCAGCATATATCTGACCATTTAATCATTTTTTTTCTGTTGTAGCTTTCAGAGGCATTAAACTCTTCAGATGTCTGGTTCCTATCACCACCCTCTGAGAACAATTCTGACTTTTAAGGTTTCTCAAGAACAGCATTTCACACCAAACCACTCTGAATGACTTTAATTACATCTTAACAAGGTAATAATGCGATATTTTGGAAAATCGGTGGAGTTCCCCTTTAACATTTTAGGCTGCTGTGGAAAAAACTCAACACTTTGCTTCTCTCTGAAACACAATGACACTCTGTTTCACTTGTTGTTGCAATATGCTGGAAATTAAATTTACATTGTTAAATCATGTTGTCCTGTTTTCCCCTCAAGCCCCTGCCCTCCCAAATTGTCTGTGACCAGGCCTGACATAAGCCTCTATTACTTGTTAGCTACATTAGCTTCATAGCTCTAGTGCACATCTTGCCTGATTGACCACAATCAAAAAACTGTAAATATGATTTTGTGCTGAATTATTGCTTTAATGATGGAGCTACATGGTCAACAGTATAGCCAGGCTGGGAATGAGGGTTTTTGAAGCGCTTGGAGACTTATTAACCTTTTCAGGATTGCGGTCAACTCTGTGGAAAGTCACATAATAGAGTTATTGATGATAACATCTGGTCATCATAATAGGAGACCGAAGAATTTGAGAATGTGGTGATGCTTGTGTGGGCAGGTAGACAGCTGTTTACATTAACTGACTGACTTCACTTCAGCCGTAACCCAGTGAAAATGTAAGGGATGCCCTGGGCATGTTGTATAAGGTGGGCATGTAAAGAGCATTGCTGCGGCATTGCATTAAAAGCAGTGGCTTGGTGCGGGGGTCCACAGACAGGTCAGGATTAAGGGCTTAGCTGAGACATTCGCTGCTGTACCACTAGCTGACAGACGTACACTCAGGTGGACAGAACCGGCCAGAGACTGCAAATTTATATCGTACCAGCAAGTAAATACTTGCAATTTAAAAACGTTATTAAATTCCATGATATTAAAAACCACTTTAATAGATAGACTGTATACAGTAAAACTGTAAATATGAGCTTTTAAAACAAGCTGAATGATAACTATATACACTAGCAGTAGAAGGTTTGGACAATCTTGCCTGAATGTAATATTTTTCTGATTTTAAGCCAAATGAAAGCATTAATGTTGACAACTATTGATGCCTATTTGGAATATATTTCCAAATATTTATTTATTTATTTATTTATTTAGCAGTGGCTCCCCAAATAAATAGCTTTCAGTTAGAGCTGTAGTGATATTCTGAGTTGCTTGTTGAACCACAATCATTTTGTCATTGTAACTGCTATATGTGCCTCATTGAAAGTTAATTAGTGAAATATCTGTCCTCGTTAATTTGTTTCAGCCGATCAGCTGTGCTGGTACTTCCCTCTTGAGCTCCTGCTGTAATCTGTATTTAGTCGATCATTGCCAGCCCTTCACAAACTTCACTTTAGTGGACACATGACAGCGCTGAAGATATCAGTAGCTAGCCATGTATTAATCATGAGGTCATTCAATAATTAGCAGTAATGTCTTCGTTTTACTTCGAAGGGCACATGATGGAATAATTAATTGCTAAGTAATAAGAAATAACCAAAAGGGGAAAGTTTGTGAGTGAACTTTGAGTTGGTTTGATAAAACTGTTGCTGTGAAATTCCAGGTGATTGCTAAGGTCTTGCTAAGCTATTAATATGGTATCCATGGAGATTTCTAAGGTGTTGCTATGTTGTCCCAGGTGGTTGCTAATATGTTTTTTGGCCACTAATATGGAATCTCAGGTGTTTGTTTAGGTGTTGCTAGGTTGTTGTTATAGTATCCCAGGTGGTTGCTAAGGTTTTGCTTGGCCATTGCTGTGGTATCCCAGGTGGTTTCTAAGGCCTTGCTAAGCCATTACTATGGTATCCATGGAGGTTACTAAGGTGTTGCTATGTTGCCCCAGGTGGTTGCAATATGTTCCTAGGCCATTGCTATGGAATGTCAGATGTTTGTTTAGGTGTTGCTACGCTGTTGTTGTAGTATCCCAGGTGGTTGCTAAGGTGTTGCTAGGCCATTGCTGTGTTATCCTAGATTGTTGCTAAGGTTTTGCTTGGCCATTGCTGTGTTATCCCAGGTGGTTGCTAATGTATGTTTGTTTATGTGCTAGTATGTGAGCCTGTATACAATGTATATGAGTGTCAGTGTGAGAGAAGTCATGTGTGAGATCATTTGTGGCAGTTAGAGCTGAATTTTCTCAACCTTTCACATTCATTTCCTATGGGAAAAAAATGTTGTTTGAGCGAATACTGGATGAAAACGATACATACAAGATACAAGATCACATAAGTACAATTGCACAAGCTCATATTCCATATAGGCTCTACAGTCCTGCAAAGTTTCCATGGTTCTAGCTTGAAGACTGCCACCCATCCAAAAACATGCAGTCAGGCTGATTGGACGTGCTAAATTGCCCCTAGGTGTGAGTGTTTGTGTGACTCTGTCTGTCTGTCTGCCCTGTGATGGACTGGCGACCTGTCCAGGGTGTATCCTGCCTTCCGCCCAATAGGCTCCAGCACCCCACCGCGACCCAGAAGGATAAGCGGTTTAGATGATGTATGTATGAATGGGACGAACACTTAAGTACTACTAAGATCTCATGTTACTTTGTCATATGAGTAAACACTCTTATTAGTTCAATAGCAGTGTAATAAGCATCAATTAGTACACAGTTAATGAGTAAAGTACAGTGTACGCAATTACTAATTGCAAAGTGCTAAATGAATTACTAAGTAGTAACTACTGCTTAACAAATGGTCAACTAATACATCAACAATGGGTAATCAATGACTTTATAAAGACATAATGAACTTAACTTGCCATGCTTAATGTGAAGTGTTACCAACATGACTACAATCACTTCATTCCACTTCACAGCACCAACACAGTGATGGTAATTCAGACACATTCAAAAATCATTCTCGTGCAATTCAGATGTTTTAAACGCTCAGGCGCCGATATA